AAATGAGGCAACATAGGCAGGCATGCTGACGATCTGGCAGCAGGAACTACTCCCCATCAGGCTAGCTCTTGAACCAGCGGGTTGGTTCTGATTGTGCCTTGGCACAGGTAGACTCCTTGGGATCCTACAGGTCCCAAAAGTGGCAGGATGTTCTTGAATCCGAGGCAGCCATTCACTTGTTGGAGCCTTTGGAACTGTCTTCTCATTTAAGATTTGGTTTTAAGGCCATGGAAAGATGTCTGGAAGCAAATAATTAGGTCAGAGTCTGAATTCTTCACTCATCAGATCTGGTATTTTAGCTATGGTTGAATTTTCTCTGGAACGATCACCCCTTAGGGACACAGTCCTGTCTGGTATAGTACCTTCTGGTCCTTATCAACATGATTTATGTTTTGTTCTTTATCTGAAGAGATTTTTCCCTAGTGATTCTACACCTGAGGTGATTTTGGCTTATGGCTCCACTTTGACAGCGTAGTAAGATTTCTTTTGAAGCAAGAGGCCCTAGTGAGGTCTATCCAGATTGTTAGGGACCACTTCCTGTCTCTTGTAGTCATCTCCAGGATCATGTGTACAAAGGGATGATTTTTTAGACTCTTTAGGGACGGGAAGAAACAAGCATCCCAGGGGGAGGGATAGCTCAGTGGTTTGAGCATTGGCCTGCTAAACCCAGGGTTGTCAGTTCAATCCTTGAGGTGTCCCCTTAGGTATCTGGGGTAAAATCAGTACTTGGTCCTGCTAGTGAAGGCAGCGGGCTGGACTTGATGACCTTTCAAGGTCCCTTCCAGTTCTAGGAGATAGGATATCTCCATTAATTTTTAATTTATTTAATTTATTTATTTCTTTAAGCAGGACAGTTATTGGAGGTCCTCAGTCTTCCGATGGTGATTCTTCTTGACCTCTCTTTCCCTAGGTGATGACAGGGCTTGTCAAGATCTGATAGGCAAAATGGTTGAAATCTTTGGCATCTATGTAGCTTACGTTTAAAACGAAATTGAAAACCCATACAATTAGAGTTGAGGGAAAGGCAGAAGGTTATATACTTCAAGTGAGTGACAGACTCCTGGAGCCATGCTGAAATGTGGAGTCACTTTGTGTCTGTCCCATGTGTGTCCTGAAAGCCTGATTCCTACAAAATTTCTTGTCTTATGTGTGATAAAATGTATAAGAGTCTTCATTAATGTACTAAAACTTCCAGTGAGAATGTCTTAATGCTAAAAATTAATCTTACTACTTTCCACTAGATTTCAAATGTTCATTTAGTCACATTTGTTGCAGTTTTTATACTAAGATAAACGGTATGAAATTATGCATAAAAACAAAGAGCATAACAGGTCTCTTGCCTGAATTCTGTTCAGCTGTCTTTGTTTTTTGAGAGGGGAGTTTTATCTATAATGACACTTGGCAAGCAGGTACAGTAATTAGACATTGCACCATACAACTCATTTTGCTTACTAATAGCTTGTGAGCATCACAACTATTGCATACATGTGCTCAAACAGGCTTAAATTTATGGTCAGTGTGGACTTGCAAAGTGTACAAGTTTGTGTACAACAGATGCTTCAAAAGTTTGGTTCCTAAAGTCAGACTCACAGGACTTTCTTACTAAGTGATGTTTGATTAGTCTTAACTAGACCCTCTTGTATTAAATGCACTCGGAAAGCTGAATAAATGTTAATATGCTCTTTTAATATGAATGTTTTACTCTTATGCTTCACTCTGACAGATTCATGCAAAGGCCCAAACTTCCACACCTGTAGTTCATGTTTATGGTGTGGGAGCCCTTCTTGCCCTGGGAAACTTAAACTCAGTGTGTCAGGGCTGAACAGCAGCAGCTCTTTTTCTGGAAGGTGGTGGTGGAATCTCTCTCCCTGTATACACATAGACCCAAAATAAAAAGAAGCTGACAGTTGTCCCTTAATATGAATTCCTGTTAGCTTGCTGTCCGAACTTTGCATGCCAACCTTTCTGAGCCGGTGAGAGTCTTCCTGCTACCTTTATCACAGGAGCCATTACAGGACTTGCCCTGTGTTTACCACTCTGACTTGTCAGGTGCCATCTGAAAACAATGTTTCTCTCCTGCCCTAACAATCCTTTTAAGAATTTGACTTAACACTTCCGGTTACAAGATCAACTCTTAATGGAATATTTTTGATGCTGAGGGTGACTGTTCCGAAGTAAATAGACCAGGCAGGGGTCTCAAACTCAATTTACCTTGGGGTCAGTGCCAGTCCTCAAATCCTCCCAGCGGGCCAATAATGTCACTCGTGCCACCCAGAACCTGCCCCCCAAAACTCCTCCCCCCCAAACTCCACCCCCACCTGCCTAAGGCTCTGGGAGGGAGTTTGGGTGGGGAAGGAGGTCTGGGGTTAGGGGATTGGGGTGCAGGGAGTTTGGGTGGGGGAGGGGGTCTGGGGTGCAGGCTCTGGGATGGAGTTTGGGTGCTAGGTGCCAGCTGGAACGGGGTGGGAGTGCAGGAGGAGGGGGTGGGGTTGCAGGCTCTGGGAGGGGGAGGGGTGCAGGCTCTGGGAGGGAGTTTGGGGGTGGGAGCGGGTGCGTGGGAAGGGGGAGGAGGTTCAGGCTCTGGGAGGGAATTTGAGGGCTGGGGGTGTGTGGGGAGGGGTGCAGGCTCTGGGAGGATGTGTAGGAAGGAGGAGGGGGTGCAGGCTCTGGGAGGGAGTTTAGGAGCAGGAGGGGGTGAGGGTGCAGGCTCTGGGAGGGGTCGGGGGTGTGGCACTTACCTGGGGCTCCAAGGCGGGGTGGGCTCGGGGGCCTTCGCGCACTGCTGCCCCCAGGCACCGGCCCCGCAGCTTCCATTGGCTGCAGGGGCGCTACGGGTGGGGGCAGTGGGCAGAGGCACAGCCCCGTGGAGCAAGCGCACAGGAAGCCGCTCAGCTCTGCTGCACTGCCGGTAGTGGGTGGGGCCCTGGGCCATTTTAAATCACCCGGGGGACACGTGGGGGGGAGCCCCCAGGGGCGGCAGGTGGGGCCAAGGGAGAGACCCAGACCCAAAATTGCTGGAGCTCCGCGGGCCACATTGGGGAGGTTCTTGGGCCGCAGACGGGCCGCAGGCCGGGGTTTTGAGACCCTTGAAATAGACTTAACAGAGTGTGGTCTGGTGGATAGAGCAGTGAGCTGGGAGCTTGGGAAGTCCCAAATTCTAGTTCTAACTCTCTCTCACTCAGTAGCTGTTGGTAAGTTTTCTAACTTAATTTGAACCGATCCATAAAATGGGTTTACTTGTGTCACCGGGATGAATGGAGGATTGTTTGCACAGTGCCTTGAGATGGAAAGGTGCCAGCATAAATATTTATATTTTAACATACTGTTGAGTAGAAAAGTTTCCTGTGTATTGGGGGTGCTGGGAGCTCTTGGAGGACAGCCTGAAGCATCTTGCTTGTAAAAATGGAAATTCTCTCCATGTTGTGCATTCCTTTTAATCTAAAGGAATGTTTTGACCCTTATAGTGCTCAGCTCCTCTCATCAGAAGCTTTCAAAGTGCTTTGCAATGAAGGTTCTCCATTTGTAAAATAGGGGCAATACTTAAGTTACATAAGTAACTAACCGAAGTTCATATGGGAGTAGAAGCTGGATTCTCTGACGGTTAATGCTCCTGATGTCTCCCTCAGAACTCATGTATTAAAATTATTGATTAAAAGCAATTGCTGTCGGGTCATATTCACAATCGATTAACACTGCTTTATATTGGAATACTTCAGCAGACTAGGAGACTGAAACATCACTGTTAATTGTTTTAACTTGTTACTGAATCCAAAGCTTTTTGCCTTTCAGTGCTGTATTCCCTTCTCCACAAAGAACTGGGTGCTTTGATTTTTTTGTAAGTTAATATAACTTAATGCTTAAAAATAGTTTTTAGTGTTGTACCAGCACATCATAATCGGCCCCTCTGCCATCTCTCTAGAGACCTCTTGTTTTTTGGCATTGCAAATCAAATTAACTTTAGATTGCCATAATTTGCATTCTTTCAGTGGGACGCCATCTGACAGCACTAGGCAGCCAAGTAGAATTGAATGCACCAGGACTTGCCATTGTCATAGAAGAGACATGCGGAAAAACTCTGCTTAAAAGTATAAACAGTTAATACCAACTTAGAAACTAAAATGTGATTGGCAAGAAAAGTTGCACTCTTCCTGTTTAGTGAATGTTGCCCTAATGCATTTGAGTAGGGAAAAGGGTGTCTTTAAACCATGGCCTTGCCCCATCGAAGATGGTCATCCTATGGTTCAGACTTCAGTGTGGGCAAGTGCAATCAAGGTTTCATCCTTTCATATCTGAGCTACCATTGTTTCTAAATTGTAATTCCCCTGCTCAGCTGCACACCAGTCACTAAGGTGGTGCTGACAAAGAGTTCAGCTTTTAATGAAAACATAGATTCTGCAGAAACAGATAGCAATGGTCCCTCTCCTCCCCAACTCATCAGAGAGAGCTTCCTGGAGTTTTCAAGTTCTGAACACTGTTACCACTCCAATGTTAAAGAGAAAAGTATGGGAAGTTTACTTTGTTCTACTTAACAGGGGGTAGGGGTGGAGGCAGGGAACTCCCTTTAACACTTATGGAACTAACGTCCATTAATAATTGGATTGTTCAAATATATTTCAAGGCTATTACATTTCATGTCTGTAAAGATCAGTGGTTCTCAACCTAGTTACCATCGTAGGCCACATCCCATACTATCTGTGTGGCCCTGAGGATGTCACATGGGCCGCAACTGTGTGCTGATTGGGCTGCAAGTTGAGAACCACTGGTAAAGATATTCTGAATATTAAGTTTTAGACTGTTCAGTGTGCCAAGTTTCCAGTAAGGGTTATGACTATTTGGGTTAATATGTTGTCATCTAGATTTCACATTTTCCTTTACTTAATACATCAGTATTGAGAGCAAACATGAAGTCACAATCCTAGGAGGACTCAATGAATTTGTAGTGAAGTTTTATGGACCACAAGGAAGTAAGTACATGTCCTGTGCCATTATGATGTCTGGAAACTGGAAGTTGGAGCAAGAGGTCAAGGGATGTCATTGCACTTAGGTTGCATCTTGACCACAACCTGTCCGATTTCTCCCAGCTGACAATAGGGGAAGATGGGGATGAGCGCTGAATTTCAAACCTTAATATTGGGTGAACATCATCCTCTCTCTTAGCGGAATGGCAGGTTGGTAGTTTTGACTGCTGTGCAAAGCCACAGCATTATCTTAAAATAGAGCTTAAATTTCAAAGGTCCTGAGTGACACCACTCCTGGGGTTTGGCACCTTGGAAAATCTGGCTTGTCGGTCGAATTTTATAAAGTGCTTGTAAACAAGATTGAAGGCAAAGATAGATTTTTCCAAAAGAATTAGCTCTCTTGCTGGGTCTGTAATGTGTCTTAAATTAGTAATGTCTCTCAGGGTAAGTAGATTATTCTAACATTTTTGTGGTCTGAATAAGACTCTTGGCCCTTTGTGCTGAAAACTAATGTAGTATCAGTTAAAATCAGAGCTTCAATAGAGACCAGTGCCCTTCACACCTTGGGGGAATGGCCATTACTGTAGGTCTTTCTGTCTGTGCTCTGTGTCAAAGAAAGGAGGTTTGACATGAGGGCTTATTCTAAATGGTAATTATTTTTCCAGGTCTTTTTTTTTACTTAATGCCATTGTGCTTTTATTCTAGGCAGAGTTCTGCAGTATGTCTAACACCTGCATTTTTCTCTGATTGCAGCACCATATGAAGGTGGAGTGTGGAAAGTTAGAGTGGACCTTCCTGATAAATACCCTTTCAAATCCCCATCTATAGGTAACCAAGCATCGCTTCCAATCTAAATCTGTCTTGTTGCTCATGTAGTAGAGACGCTAACTACTATTTTATAGCATTTACCAACAATTACTGTAATTACTTTTTCATTGATTTTTATGTAGCGACTTTACTGAAGTCAGAGGCCTTCTGCAGGTTTCTGATAACCTTAACATTAAAGCATAATATTAACGTTAAAGTATAGAAGGATGGTCTTGTACTTAAATTACTGGGCTGGGATTTAGGAAGTCTGGATTCAGTCCCTGACTGAGCTACAGACTTGCCTGTGATATTGGGTAAGTTACCGTCTCAGTTCTGTAAAAATGGGGATACTTTCCTATCTCCCAGGATTGTAAAGATAAATTCATTAATGTTTGAGAAGCTCAGATGCTTACAGGGAATGCAGTGGGGTGCACTCACAGGTATCTAGATAGCATTATTCATTAATGTGCCGTACGGTCTGTGTGCATTTTATGATGTAATGTGCGTTCTTGGATTGATCTCAGATTCAGAAGTAGGCTATCGGTGACCTTCTTTCCAGCAGCATGATTTGGAGGCCTGAAATACAGAAGCTGAAACCCGGTTTTACTAATCTTCTTGGTTTTACTAATAACAATGTTCTTGTATGTGAAACAATGTAGGTCTCTGTTGCTGCTATGGTCAGAATAGCAGCAATGCTATAAAATTGGGTCGTGCCCATTTGGCTGAAGTAGTAATTATCCTTGTTCACATTGAACAAATCAATATCTTGGTAAGCCAAAGTTCTTATTTTAGGGCATGTCCATTGTGTCTTTCAGTCTTGAATAGCGGTGATCTAATTTCAGTATTTTTAAATTTCTCCAGTAGTTTGAAAATGATGAATAAAAAATAGCTAGTATTGTTTGAAAAACTGAATCAAATACAGCTACATGATTAGGTTTCAACATCCCTTTCTTGGGTTATGAAATAGGTGCTGCTAACTCATGGAGTGATATGATAGTTGCCCGTTGAAAGGGCAAACTTGTAGTTCAATCCACTGAAATATTTTGCGGAGTCTTCCATCTAAAGAACTGAGAACAGCTTGAGGAAAATTGATGTGGAAACTTGACAAAGTGGGTTGGAGTAGATGGGTCCCATCCAATCCTAACATCCTGATATGAAGACAGTGGGTATTTGCTGATTACTTAATACTCTTACGTGGAGACTGTTTTATTTAAAACCTTTGCCTCTTGCGTGCGAACCAATCCTTCTGGTCCTTCATATTAGCTATGCCCATTGTGTATAGACAGTGTCATTATTCCCCATCTTGTATCTCTATCTTACTTTTATATAAAAATTCTTGTATGCACGTCTAATCTGAATAACCACGTGATCTTATGCTACCACCATTTGGCCTTCCTCTCACTGCCCCTCATCACCCAACTCCCCTGGGACTGTCCCCTCAGCATCCAGATCCCCCCAACACTGGGCCTGTACACCTGCTTTCCCTGCAGAGACAGGATGCCCTGTCCAGGACAGATTGGCTCTCCCAGGGACAGCCCCCTCCAGCATCTAGTCCCCCACCCAGGGACTGCTCCCCATCATCTCCCAGCTCCCCCCAAGGACTGCCCCCTGGCACTCAACCCCCCCATCCGGGGATTGTGCCCCTGTACCTAGCCCTCCATCCAGGGACTGCCTCCAGTCCCCCCACCTCGTCTGTCCCCCATGCACCACCCTCCCCATGCCCACTGGTCTCTTACCTCATTTGCAGCTAGCTCAGTTGCCCTGCCTGCCACTGCAGTTCTAGTGCTGGGAGCCTGCTCCAGCCGGGGTCACTCGACCTGCGGGATCGGGGGTGCTGAGCATCCTAGCCTCCTGCCGGGTGGGGGGAGGGGACCTGTGCTGCCCCATTTTTGCAACCAACTCTGTGCCTAGCTTCGTGCCCAGGGCAGGTACCCCTCCCACCCTGCCCTAGTTATGGCCCTGAGGATGTCATGTGGGCCGCAGGTGTGTGCTGATTGGGCTGCAGGTTGAGAACCACTGCTCTACCTGGTCTAGGTGCCACTAGAGGGGGGACAAGCAGGCATAGGTTATATGTCCACCCTGGAGTCGTCATATCTTTTCAATTGTAAACTCTTCAGGTTGGGGCCTGTCTCTCTGAGAAGTGCAAAACACCCAACAGGGTGCTATAAAACCATTCTCCCGTCAAATCAGACTCCCACCTCCCAACCCCCCCCATAAATGATTGTATCCGTTTGCAGACTATAAGTATAGTGCATTGCCATGCCAGCAATTTTAGATGTGAGTGAGAGGCTGCCCTCGACAAATTGCACACAACCTCTGCCTATCTTATTTAATTTAACACATTGATAAAAAGTTTAATTCCAAAGTGTAATTCTACTCTGAAAACTCACTCAACGGATCTGCTCCTTGTGTGTATTGGAGTCACGCTGCTGACTTAGCTGCAAAAATAAATTTTGCTCCCATAAGCCCTGCAGAGCCTACACCGCTAAAAGTAAGCCAGATTCTATTACTTGTACATCAGGTGTTTGTTAGGTTCCAGTCAATTACATGGAAGACAGTGACATTGAGGACATCATTTCTCCTGGAGAACCTTTAGTACTGGTTGTGCTCTGACAGGTAGAAAACAACCTGGGATCAGAGACTGAAGTAGACTGAATTAGCAGAGCTGACAATTAGAGAGAACATCTTTTTTGCTTGCAAATTGAGCATGTTTGATTGCAAGTTCATTGTTCATTGTCTTGATGAGTCTCAGTGCCCCATTCTTACCTCACCAGATCCCCTCTTGCACTCATACTCTGCCTCACAAATACCCACTTATGGCTGTCAAAGCACTTCCTCCCCCATTGAAGTGTCTGCTGCTCTGGGGTCCATCCTCTCCTCTTCTTGAGAGAAGGCTGCCAGCAGCCCAGGTTACCAGCTGGGTGGAGTGGCATTGAGCAGAGTCTACAGGCTGAATAAATCATAGAATTGTCAGGCTGAAAGGGACCTTGATAGGTCAACTAGTCAGTTCCCTTACACCGAGGCAGGACTAAGTATTGTCTAGACCGTCCCTGATAGGTGTCTAATCTGGTCTTAAAAAAACCTCCAACGTTGAAGATTCAACAGCCTCCCTACGTAATTGATGAATGCTAAGCTAGCTCTGAGACTAAACCAAACAGACCTGGCAGAGTGAGCTGAATTCCTATCAGCTGCTCAGCACAGGAACTTCTGGGAGGAGGGAGCTTCAGCTGGGAGTGGAATTGGGCAATCCCTGCCAGGGGGAGAGTACAGAAGACACTAGTATCCAGAGGAGGCAATAAGGCAGCTGCAACAGGGAGGAGATTTGTATTTTCATTGGGTTACAATTCTGCCACCTTTTACTCCTGCACCTCAGTCTGGCTTATAGGCTAGAGCCAGAGCTGAGTGAACTTTTGGGCCTTCTCTCCAGGGACAGCAAGATTTCAATATAATGTTCTTGTGGAGAGAGGGAGAAAGTACCTCATGCCGTTCTCTAGTAACGAATCTGACTGATGCAGGGAGTGATGGAAGCTTTGGAGGAGCTGTGTCCAGTCATCCTCAACTAGAAGCTGTGCCAGGTTTGAAGGAGGCTTGTGAGTAAGAGTCAGAGGAAACACAGCAGTAATCTACAACTGGGTTGTGTGCTGTTCAGCCAATGGTACTCTCTTCAGTTCCCATGGGGCAAGAGGTAGAAGACACTATTTGCCCTACCCCAAGCCTGGGATCACTGGAATTTGGGGAAATTAACGAATATGGTTTAACTGGCAAGATTCTTCTCTGGTTTGGTCTAACTAGTTTACTGATCTGTAACCAAAGGAGAAAAGGCAAGATCATTTCAGTGTGATGGAGATTCCTATAAACAGATGACACGACTGCCTATGGCAGACACAAGAAGTTTAGTCACTGCACTCGCTAGAGCACTACAGATATGGATTATACTACGCCAGTTGCATGCAGAAGGCAGTGTAAATTGTCTGTGTACATCAATGGATCATATAAAATAGAACTAGTTCCCTTTTCTCCTTAATAAATTATACCTTCTATGTTGAAACTTTAAAACGAGTGCTCTTTTTGCAGCTTTCCCTGTTTCTCTCTAGTGCTCTGGAAGAACTTGGGTATAGTCCATTCAAGTTTTAGAAACCGTTAATGTGAACTGGAATGTAACACATTTTTCCAACAAAGTAGCATAGTGGCTTGGGGAAGTGTATTGCGTATTCCAAGGTGCTCTTGATGAAGTGTTTAGTCCTTCCTGTGCTTAAAGTGGACTCCAGTAGACCGTTTCCAACCTTTTAGAAACCAGTTTTTATTCCAACATGGCACAGAGTAAGTGCACAAGAATTTGACCCACCACAGTACTGGGAGCTTCAATGTGTTCTCCTTAGAGAAGTGTAACTAAAATAACTTTGTTCAGTTTGTTAAACAGGGGTTGGGCTGGGTTAGTACCCAGAAGGTGAACCTCAATGGAAAATCCAGATGCTTCAAGAAGTGGTGTAGATAATTCATATGTTGCTTTTCTTGATTTAATATTAAACCCCTGCTCCAGGCAGGTATTAGTGACTCTGTGCTGCTGGAAAATCTTTCAGAATAGATTTAAAACTGAAATCCTCCCTGCTTGGCTTTGAAGATCATATGGCACTTCTTGCAGGAGAAGTATTAGCCCTGGTGTGGTGGCTGCTTTCCAGTTTTGGTCATTGTTTGCCTTATATAACTGAATGTGTGTAAGGAATTACTTCCTTTCCTGTTCAGCTTTGTAATATTGTTGTCCTGTATTAAATAATTCCTCACCCCAGAGGTGGCACTCTCCCAAGTGCTTCCCATTTATAGCTTATAAAGCATCCTGGGCTCTTCCTGCATGAAAGGAGCAATAGAAATGGAAGTTGTCATCACTAATGCATTTGCAGCTTTCATTATCTTGGCCTGTGGGTACTTGCCACCTACTTCTGACTATGCATATTCATGTTATCTTTGTGCCTGTCATATAACTCACTGAAGCTACCAGGCTCAAAATAGTCTTGATGCAAGAT